TTTAAATTTTTAACTCAGGGATATTTATTTAGAGAGTTTTGAAAATCAATGGATATCTTAGACACATGCAAAATGAACCAGTTCTTCAATATTTTCATAGTCATTCACCAACTCTCTGTGTACCTCCTGTAAGGACATAAATGCATAGGGCATCAACATTTTCTCTAACAAACTTTAATATTAACACTAATGATGCTGGGCACAGTGGTTAAGCCTGTAATCCCAGCACTTTGGGAGGCCGAAGTGAGAGGATTTCCTGAGTCTACAGGTTCAAGACTAACCTGGGCAAATTGGCCAGACCTCATCTCTACAATAAATCAAAAAATGAGCCAGGTGTGGTAGTGTGCGCCTATAGTTCCAGCTACTTGGGAGGCTGAGGCGGAAGGCTTGCCTGAGCCTAGCGGATTGATGCTGGGGTAGCCGTGAGCTTGCCACTGCACTCTAACCTGGGCGACAGAGTGAGACTCCAACTCAAAAAACAAACAAAAAACAATAATGATAATGACATGAGTGGATGACATGTTCTAGGAGGAACAAGGAGAATAGTAAATAGGCATGTAGATCAAGTAGAAATTAAAGTTAACATGATTTGTAGTTAGCAATATGCCTGATTTTACTAAGTTATGTAGAAATAAGCATAAACAAACATTATTGATTTTACTATCTATTCTACTAAATCTAGGAAACTGGAAGTCAATGAGGAATGGCAACATGGGTGGAACAACATATTATGATTTAAAATTTCTGTAAATATTTTTGGAATAACAATGCAGACAGACTCACAAAACAAATGCTCCTCATTCCCCTTCAGAGTACACTCTGAAATTGATGTTCCTGAAATCACGATCACTCTTTGGTGTTGGAACCCAAATCAAGATGATCCCTGGGGTGTGAACGTTTCTTTTGAACTGAGGTTGAGCAGGCTTTGCTATGGAGTTTGTTCCCCTAGAATCTTATTTCATAAGATCACTACAGCAAAGATTAAGATCACTATGGCAAGGTTAACATACAGCAAAACTCTAGGAGGCATCATTTACTAGAATGCAATGTTAATATCTCATCCTCAGTTACAAATACTACTTCCTCCACAGTAAGGCCATAAACAAAGTCAACTGAATCATGCTTTTCTGCTCTCAAATATTTCTCCCATGTAGCCAGAACAGTTTCTGGTTTGAGATTCAAGTAAATACTTTCTCGAGAGTTAAGAAATCTGACTAATCATTTAGAATGTTGTGTTTGCTCACTGAATTATCCCCTCCCATAAACATCTAAGTGAGTCACTAAGAAGATATGTACATCTAAGTGAGAAGATGAGTATTTTCAATGGGTATAGGTAAGGAAGAATGGATGATGGAAATTTCATAAATTTTGACTGAGATGAAACTTAAGTGGGTGCAGAGGTTGCGTTGGTATCCAAAATATGGAAAACATTATAGGGTACCTGCTAGAGGAACCTAGGCATGGGGAAAATAAGAAATTGAAAGAGATGAAAGAAAGGACTCTAAGTAGGATCCAAATAAAACATGCAAGAAAATATGGCCTAGAAACATTCCTATCTACTTGGTGTGAAAGACCCCTAATAAGATAAATGCAAACAAACCATCTCTGAGCCCATAAGTACAGTGATCATTGCACCACAGTCATGTTGTTTCACTCTTGTCAGATTTTCATCCTCCTCCATCCTCTTTCAGTCTTCTTGTTTCTTCCTCTGTCCCACAGTGGAATGCTACTTTCCTCCCAATTTATCTCAATTCTCAATTCATCCAAGAAGACGTTGGTGTATCCCAAATGTCAAGGAAAGCCCACGTTCTTCTCTGCCTCAGAGTGCCTAGAATACCAGCCCTTAAAGCACGGGTTAGGCCAGAAAGGATAGGGCTCCTGGTCAATCATTCAGCCAGACAAGAAGCAAATAAGACGATCACCCAGAGATGTCGAATGCCACCTTCTCTATGCAATCCATCATTTCTTTTTTTCCTCGAATTTCCCTGATACCTTATATTCTTTTCATGACATATTATCCTAGGTATTTGTAACCTTTCGCATTGCTGAGCCCTTTGCCAGAAATGCCCACTGTGTTCTAAGTGTTCTAACTTAGCTCCAGCAAGATCTGAATTTCTCTTGCAGACTTTCTCTCTCTCCACTTCCCTGAGTATGTTGTTACTGCTTCTCTCCCCACCTGAGCATGGCTCTATTCCAATTTATAGATTGATGGCTTCTCTATTGCCCTCACCAAACTGTTGGACATTTTGGTAAACAAAGATTATATCCAATCTCTAAGATGGTGCCTTCTACTTAGGAGACTCTTAATAAATGTCAAAGGAATAAACTTTTCCCATATTCCTTTCAGAGCAATATAGTGCTCTGCAAAATAAGAAATTCCTAAATATTTAAAAATGTGAGAGTATTTATGAAATAATAGCAAGTAAATGACATTGGCAGAGTACATGTGAAGCTGAATGAAGAGAACAAGCAGAGTGTGGTGGGATAGCAATAAAACATGAGGATGGGGTCAGATGGAAAAGGAAGTAAAGGCCAGAGAGTATGAGAGTAGGGAAATTAAGAGAAATAACATTAGCACTGCAGTAGGGGGAGAGATGATCCTGACGAAAAGATCTGAGAAAGGAAGATTGTAAAAATATTTTCTGCAGCTTGCTCCTAAGAAAGCAGAAACAAGGAAGCCAGAGAAGAGACTGTTTAAGTAATACAGTCGTTTGACAGTAGCACATCACTAGGCAAATTATGGGTTGATTGGGAAATCAATACAAGAATGCAAATTTTGACTTGACACTGAAATTTGTGGAGCTTCGAAGGAAGTGACATGTCCTATAAATGGCACACGGCTGGGTTATGTAAATACAGTAACTTGAAGTTCTTGTTTAGAAGACAGTAGCTTTAGCCTAAGTGATTACTTTCACCAATACTACAAACACGCTGTTCACAGAGTTTAAATCTATTGAATAATATGGAAGATCAAACCTGAATGCATTCAGAGGAGAACTCATAGGAGAAAAGATTTTTCTAGGAAAAGATAAAGTTTCTTTTTTATATATACTTCGAATTCTTATCTCATACTTATTGCAAGAGGTCTTTTATTCTCAATTAGATAAGTTTCAATAATACATTACTCATATAGGCACATAAAAATGAAAATAAGATCAAAATAAATATTAAGAAATTCCTAAAACAACTTTCCTGCAAGCATCTTTGTGAACTATAACTGAAGTACCATATAATGCAAGTATTCAAAGTGTATAATTTTTTTGTTTTTAATATACGGGTATGTATATACCTGTGAAACAACTTCAAACATATCCATCACTCCCAAAAACTTCCTCATATTTAGTATAATCCATTCTTGTCTCCATCCTCTCCTAAATCAGCTCTCTGCTCATTATGTTAGTTTGTATTTTTTAGAATATTATATAAGTGAAATCATGCAGTAAGTCTTTTCTTTTTGACTGACTTTTTCCATTCAGCAGAATGAATTCACAATTCATCCATGTGATCGACATTTTTTACTTTTTATTGTGTATTATTTTCATTGTATACATAACTAAATTTTATTTATTCACATATTGAAAGATACACGGGTCTTCCTTTTGAAATAAAATATGTACTCTCCTACCTATTTTTGTCAGTGTTGTTGGGAAAATTATTAGTATGTCTGATCCTTAATTTTTTCCCTATAAAAATATGGGTTTAATGCCTATTTCATAGGAGTTTTGTAAGGATCAACCATTGAGCATATTGCTTAGCTCATACTCAATAAATATTAACTTATTTTTTAAGTTGTCTTTCAATTGCCTTCTGATATTAATTATAAGGTAACCGTTTTCCTTCTATTAAAATTATTTCTTTTCTATTCGTTTTTAATGTCTACCTACCTTGACCATGTAAATAATTCCAAGCTAATGCTCTGTCCAACAAACACTGGGGCACTTACACAGTTGGTTCTTAAAATAGGATTCTCTTTTTTGGGTTTTCTTGGCTTCCATAGCTGACTAGTCATAATTTCATCCAATGTACACACACATACCCAGAGCCCACTATGTCTATGTAGGTAAGAATTGGAGACAACAATCAGCCTAGAAGAAGGCTATTTCCAGAAGATTAGAAGCTGTGTTTGCATTATAATCATTCTCAAATGATGATATGTTCATTTGAGGGACTTTTGAGGAGGGGCGGTTGAAGAAGTTTATGGATTGGGGAAGCAGCTGAAGCTCTCCCAGTCCACCTTCAGAGACTGTCTCAGTATAGTTCTCTTTTTTTTTTTTTTTCCAAATTATTTTTTCCTTATTGCTGCTCCTTTAAAGTGTATCCATACTGAATTTTTTTGCCTAAATTAGACTCCTTCTATTAAAATAAATGGTGTCAATGTTCTCTTTCTTCGTATTCTTTATAAATATGATGTCCAACTAAGCTAACAAATCTAGCTCAGTTGGCAGATGGCAGTGGACGAAGGAATTTTAATTTCCCCCTGTGGATATTGTAAGTGGAGGTGGTAGCTATGGGGCTTGTTTGCTTTGCTCTGACACCAATTCTACTCACTTAAATTTGACCTCATTTGTATAGATTTTCGTCCACCAAGAAAAAATGCTGGTGGTAACAAGTAGGAGTGAAGTGGGTAATAGAGCAATGATGTGAATTTTAAAAAGCATATCTCCTAAAGATGATTGGTTGGCAACATACTTTCTATATAAGGAAAGCTCACTGATGCTATAAGTTTCTTAATGGAATGAGGAAATACACTGTTGGTGTGCTGCCTATAAGTTTCAGAAGTCCTCTGTCTTATATATTGTCCAATTATGAAGGGAGGTTCCAACTGACAAAATTACCACAAAGTAATTGCTTTTTTCTTCGCTCTTCAGAGAAGTGGGTGAAGACTCTTTTATTTATTAAACTTTAATATTTGAATAATTAATATGGACAGCCACTCCACCAAGAGTTTTTCATCGAAAGTATATATTTAGGATAACATAATGCTATTTATATTTTATCAGGAAAACACTGTAATATGCAGAAATCTACAAATTCTGATACTTCTGTGGAAACACTGAATTCCATCCGCCAAGGCACAGGAGCTGTGCAAATGAGAATCAAAAATGCCAACAGCCACCATGACAGGCTGAGCCAAAGCAAATCCATGATCCTCACCGATGTTGGGAAGGTCACTGAACCCGTAAGTCAAATACCTCAAATACTCCAAGTTCTCTAACATGCAGAATTTTGTAAAAGGAAAAAAAACACAACTAATTAGCCTTGTTTTATTTGTTTTCTTAATGCGCATGAGAAAACTGTTTTTGTAATGCATTTTATCTTGCCTACTTATAGTCATAATAATATCCCCAGTTGCAAGAAAAGAGCTGGGCTTAATCCAGAGTGATAAAGTGGATTTGGAGCTAGACTGAAGAGCACCTTTGACTCATTTTAAGGGCCTCTACTATCATGCTTCAGTGTCATAAAAATAATGAGGTTATGCTAGCATGTGGTGTTTGTACTTCCAAATACAGTACATCACTTTGAAAAGCCAGAGGCTAAAATTAGCTAAGAATGAATTGAGAAAAATAAAATCTTTGAAAAATGTGAAAATCTCTTCTTTAAATTCTCTCAATAATATATGATACTACAAATTACAATTTAATTTGGAATGGGCTAACACAATTGAAATGGTGTGACTATTTAAGGTTTGGAGAGGAAGCCATTTTGTCTCGATAATGTGTCATTAGGAAGATTTGAAATAAAATAGTTAGAGATGAACTCTACTGCCAATTGTGTCGCTGGCCCTGCACGCATCCTGAGCCACTAAACCCACTGATTGCGATGAGTCTCCTCTGGTTAATTTTCTTCCATAATTGTGGTAACTTGCAGCTGAGGCCATAGGATGTAACAAAATTATTTATGCAATGTTAGCCACTCTTTTGGACCCCAGATCTATTTTGTTTCTCACAGTGAGAGCGAGAGTGAGAAATAGGTTAGCTGGGGACAGGCTGAGTCCCAGTCACCCTGCAGAAACATGTGAGCTATTAATTGAGTGTTTTGATAATATCATAGGGGCCTATGAAATATTCAGCTCCCTAACTGAGTTATTAAATGAGATAAACTTGCTGAGTAGCATGCTACCGATTATATTTTTTCCCCAATTTTTCACTTGAAAAATGAACCCACAGCAATCTCAGGAGTTTGAGGAATATATGATTTTAATCATTCTTTCCTCAGGTGTTGTAGACACATGTAGCATGAGGAAGTCAGTGATTATATTTGGGGAGTAAGAAATACATCCTTAGATAAGGTAACTAATGAGATCTGCATTTTTCTTTATTTACTTTCTCATTTAAAAGTATTGTCTCCTGGGAGGCACAACAGTGCTAGCCTGACTTTGCTTTTAAACCAGCAAAAATGTTCCTCAACTATGAACTTGAGACAGTGGTTAGAGTAAATTATTGGAATCTCTATAATGTATTATCAGTAAGAACTGTACCTTTGAAAAAGTTTAAAAGTTAAGTATATTTAATGATGCCTAACATATTTTATTGGCTGTGTTTAACAAAAGGCACTATGCCGCAGTTGTTTTTGACAAGCATGAAAACATCACAGCATGAGACTGCAAAAGGAATTATGGAGAGAAATTACAAGTGATCCATCTCTCAATGAATTATCCACCTCAATAGCCCGCAGAACTCAGCTACCAATTAACACCTACTTTATTACATGTTGGGATGTACTTAATAACTTTCATGTGTTTATGCACTATTACCTTGACTGATGCCTCTTGTACAATTAGGCATAATTGGCATATCAATATGCAAAAGTTAAAAGGATTAACCCTCTTAAAACTAATGAGCATTTCTGTATCCAGCTGCTAAATGAGACAAAATTAGCATTTTTCACTTTTGGGCAGGATTTTATCATGCAGTTTCTCATTGTTGATATTACCTTGTTACATAACTTTAGTTTGGGGGGTTGTATGCTGGACTGCTAAAGAATAAGAGTTTTCCAAAGTTAAATTAGCTATAATTATCCCAGCTTTTGTTTCCGCATTCTTAGCCTGGGCAATATGTATTCCTCGATAAGGAACAAAAATAAAAGTTACTTTTGGTTATGTGTGCTCAGTGCATAATTATATAAAAGGGGTATTTTAGTGAGGATGTGTCATTTCACCGAGAAAACTTGGCTCAGAGATACTGTATTGAAAGCTTGCCATGGCACTAATTTTCTTTCTGTCTCAGTTCTTTTCATCTCTTTTTTCCATGCACAATTTTCTGACTAGATACTGACAGAATGTAAAGTATTTTGGCATATTTATTCAAACAAGCCTGTTAAAGTTATCTGCTCAAGCTAAACTAAGAACTTGATTTTTCAGAAGTTGGGTGGTGGAGTGAGGTCAAGGGGGAGATTTTGAATTTATGAGAAGTGGAGAAAGATGGATGCTAAAAATGTGTGCACAGTTCACATGAAACATGGTTTGTTGTCATTGAGACACATACATGTAGTCTGTAAAGGAAAAAATTAAGAGTACTTAGAGATCATACATATGTCATGCATCCTATTTTATATAGTATATATGGCATCTATATGCTACTTGTTCACTAGTATAACAGTTATGCAAATCTGATATGAATTTCCAGGACTATATGATAACACAAAGATCTGATATCACATTCATAATTATTTAAAATTATTTATTATAAAAATGACAAAATGTTCTAGGGCAATCAATTACAAATTTTTGTCATTAATTCATTAATTTCTCTTTTCATTTTGCACAATTAAAATATTTTTAATATGACTGGGATCTTAGAAATTTTATCTCAGGTTTTTTCATGCACCTTCTCAATATAAAATTCTCCCATGTTTCTCATAAGAATTTCTGATTTTAGTATCTTAAATCAAGGAGTACTTTGAAATGCCAATATAAACATTTATCCAACCCTAAGCTTTGTAAACACAAGTGAATTTACTTGTTAAATCAGAAATGTTAATGACCTAAATGTTGCAGGGAAACACTTTAGTAAAACAGGTATTCATGCTTCATTAGTATTTTAAGGAAAATGCACATCATTTTCTTTAAACACAAAGTAATCATTTTTATTTGATTCATAAAATCAATGCCTTTCCAAAATTCAAAGGGGTTACTACTTTGCTACCTTGGAAAATGTTGGAGAGGTGGGAAATTTGGAGTGGAGGGACATGGTTTGCAAGAAAATTGCCCATCTGTAAGAGAGATCTGGAGTGCTCCCCTTGGTGGGGAAGGAACAGTCTTGGCCTCAGTGATTTCTTGTCACCAGAGTGAGCACTAGAGTGAGACCTCTTAAAGGTAGACAGCTAATTTGCAAAAATGTGCTAACCAGAAAAGCAGCCGGCTAAGTGCGAGTAGATGGGGACAAGTGAACTGTGCCTGTTGGAAGGCTAAAAAGGAGAATGTATAAGGCAGTGAACAGCTAATGCAAAAGCTATAATGTGGCTTTGCTGTTATTTATAAGAAGGATGCTCCTGCCAATACACAGTTTAGAATAGATATTAATGAAGAGTTGAAATAGCCCAAATCACAAAACTGCAGGCATAGGATTTGTAGGCAGGAGCAGTTTCGGCATTTTATTGCTGATGTCTTAAGCAGTAACATGTATGAATATTCACCATTTCCATCTTGCAAACTTCACAGAAGGGCATTACTTCACTCATGGCCATCATGATCAGGAAAAGAGCTTTTTACTGGTGTTCAGATAAAGACTTAGGTAGAACCATTTCTAAATGTTAACATACCAGACTCCTTTTACTTCCATTAAGACTGTGTTAGCTCATTTACCTTTTTAATATATTATCAGAATAAAGAGGAAACAATTTTTTCTTTTGTTTCTTGTCTGTGATTATAGGATACTTGCCAAAGTTGTGGCTAGCCAAAAAAAACAGACATAAAAATTGCTACTAAAAATATAAGCCTTCTGTTTAGCAGAGTTTTTGAGAAATATTATGAGATTGTAGGGCTTGTCCATGTTTACTTCAAATCAAGCTTATAGTTAGGTTTGAGGCTTTGTTTGTATAAATTGTCCTGAAGTGGATCCTGATATTTAATTAAAATGACACTAAATCACATTGAATTGATAAGACTTGGCATCTCAAACAAAGGTAATTGCCCGTATTGGTTTTGTGCAAAAATAGCACTGCTTGGAAAATGTGCAGCCAACACAGACTGTCAACTCCATTTATAGATCAATATGTGAAAACCATTGATCAGGCAGGCATGTGTAACAGTAACACTTTGCATTTATTTGTTGTTTTTATACCACATTAAGGCTTACAGGATTATAGGATTCCTAAATATTTTGACTTCCTCATAAATATATGATCTGTTGCATGTTAATTAAATGAAAGTCTGCAGCCATTTCTAAAATTGTTTTTAGTTTGATGATTTCCTTTTATTGCTGTGGATCATATGATCTGAAAATGGATTAGTTTCCTTCTGCATAGAGATTATTAAAGCTTATTTTAATGTGTCCTATTTAGTGTAAGATGTGACTGCCTTTTTGCTTTGAAAAATATAGATACAGACAATTATTTTCTCGTAGCGAGTGGCTGATCTTTTTTTATTAACTGGGCATTCTCAGTACTCAGGGTAGAATTATTTCCTGACATATTTTGCACACCCTGTAGATAATGGGTCTTCTTGATTTCCCCGATAGAATATGTTTTCTTTTCTTTTTATCTAGCTCTGTAGAACAGGCATCTGATCAAACATTATGTAGAAAATAAACTGATTATCTCAATTAAATTCTAGACACACACAAATATAATTTGAATTCTATTTTTATGATTCAAGAACAAGCCTTATGAACTGTTCTTCCACACTGCATTCTGCAGTTAAATCTTTCTTATCTCATCAATGTAAGGACAGTGTTTTGTTCCTAATCTTTATTGGACTATTGTGGATGACATTTGTAAGCCATTTTGGTTTATAAGGAAAAGCTGGAGGACAGTGGAGTGAGTCTCTCCAAAGATCCAAGCCTCTGATATGACTATGCAATAATGTGTCTTCCACTGCAATTTTCTTTGCCACTGTGAGGGCAATTGTGTTGAGGAATCTTTTTGGACCCTCTAAACACACTAGGAGCTCTGCTTTCAAGACAGTATTTCATATAAATATTAAAATAATAAAATAAACTGGATTTCAGAAACAGCAGTTAA